GACACATGGTGGCGTGTCGTTTTCAACATCTAGTTGTCGCACGGTTGCGCCTTTGCACCAGCACTGAGCTACATGTATGGAAGGCCGGTGGTTCTCAACACCTGGCTCTTGCCTGAGATTTCTTAACGTTTCATGGTCTGGGGATTTGCATCAGTTATGCGGATGGAAGGTGCCTTCGTGCTCTCCTCCATCCCCATCATCCTGCACCGTGGCTCGAGCTACGACCGAGGGTGTCAGGCCTGTGTCATCTGCGGTGCGCCCTCCTGCGGACTCATCCGTCAGCGATGCTCCGCACCGCCTGCATGAGCACCGGCCTCGCGGCGGCCTCGGCCTTTGTGGGCCCCGCGCCCAGCGGGGGCGTCGTGAGCAGCGCCGCGACTGGTCAGCGCTTCCTGGCGCCGGAGGCGGCATCGCCCGAGCAGCCTGCTGGCCTCGGCGCCAGCGGCGTTCTCGCGGCGGCCGGCGCGTGCGCCGTCGCGGCCGGCGCCGCGGCGCGCGCCGAGCGCCGCCGCCCCCGTGCGCGGGCGGTGGTCGCCTGTCGCGCCGGGGGGGCCGACACCGAGGCCATCGCGAAGCAGGTGGCAGCCAGTGCCGCTGCCACAATGGTCGCCGTCAGCGCCGCGGCGGCGCCTGCGGCTGCCTACCCGATCTTCGCGCAGCAGAACTACCCGAACCCCCGGGAGGCAACCGGCAAGATCGCCTGCGCCAATTGCCATCTCCAGGGCAAGTACATCGAAGTCAAGATGCCCCACGAGGTCCTCCCCGACACGATCTTCAAGACCCTCATCGAGCTCCCTCTCAAATACGAGAAGAGGGTTCAGCCGATCGCCGACGGCTCCAAGGCCAGTCTGAACGCTGGCGCGATCGCGATCATGCCCGAGGGCTGGAAGCTGGCGCCGAAGGACCGGCTGCCCAAGGCGCTGAAGAAGCAGATGAAGGGGCTCGCCTGGTCGCCATACAGCAAGGACAAGCCCAACATCGTCGTCGCGGGGCCGGTGCCCGGGAAGATCTACGAGACGATGGTGCTCCCCATCCTCGCCCCCGACCCCAACAAGACCCCCGAGATCGTGTTCAACAAGTACGAGTTCTATTTCGGAGGCAACCGGGGGCGCGGGCAGGTCTACCCGGAGGGCAACCTCAGCAACGTCAACATGTACACCGCGGCGGCTGAGGGCACCGTGACCGAGATCGTCCCGGGCGAGAAGGTGGTCATCACGAAGGCGGACGGCACGGTGGTGGACTCGCTCATTGGCAAGGGGGCCACGGTCGTGGTCGAGGTCGGCGAGAGCGTGAAGAAGGACGAGCAGATCACCACGAACCCCAACGTGGGCGGCTTCGGTCAGGAAGACAAAGAGGTCACGCTGCAGGACATGAACCGCGTGTATGCGTACTGCGGCCTCTCCATCTCGATCTTCCTGGCGCAGCTGGTGTTCGTGCTCAAGAAGAAGCAGTTCGAGAAGGTGCAGCTTGCGGAGGGCTTCTGAGCAGCACCCTCTCTGAGAGGGCACCTTTTCTCTCCTTCCTGCCTCCCTCCTTCACTCCCTTCTGTCCTCCCTGCCGTTCATCCCCTTCATCCCTTGCTCTCAACTTCGTTTCCTCGCCACTTCCATCACCTTGACCCCTCGGAGTCCCTTTCTTTCTCCCCTCTGCACGATCCCTCCCCCTGCATTCTCACCCCCCCCTGCTCTCCCTCCTCCCCTTCCCCTCCTCCCCTTCCCTCCCTCGCTCCCTCCCTCCTGCTCCCCTCCTCCCTGCCCTTCCTCACCTATCTCTGCTCCTCGCCCCCTGTCGCCGTCGCCGCCGTCCCCCTCCTCCTGCTTCTCCTCCCGATCCTCCCAGCCCTCCGTGATTATCCTCCTCGTCATCCCCCTCAGCGCAAGCTGCAGCTCTTGCTGCCCGGTCTGTTTTCGCCGCCAGTCTCTTGACGGCCGAGGAGGGGCCAGGTTCATTTGGTTTTCCTTCCGGGTTTTTAGTCCGCACAGGGCACCTGTGCACCACCGAGTCGGCACCGGCGCCTGGTCAGGGCCATCTTGGGCCCGGGGAGCACCAGCCCTTCTTGGTCTTGGTCAGGCGGGCGCGCACACCAAGCCAGGGCCCAAGGTAGCCTTTGCCAGCCATGGTGGTGGTATACAGGTGTCCTCTGCACATTCAGTAATTGGCGATTTTCTGATTCCTGCGAGAGCCCTGTCTGGAGAGTCGCTCGCTGACGGCAACACGAGCCTCTTCCTCCTCCTCCTCGTGCTGCTGTTCCGCCCCCTTCCCTCAGACCTGGTGTGTGTGTGTGAACAAAACAAAACGGGACGCGTCCCCACTTAGGGGTCTTTTTGCCAATGCAACGCGACATGTTTCAACGCACAGCATTGCAACGCAATGCAAGGCAGTGCAGCAACGTGCAGAACAAATCATGTGTGCCAGCGTGGACCCCCCAAAGTGGGCTATTCCCGAAATGTTGTCCCTGTTGCTTCATACGTGTAGGGTGCTGCCTACGACGTGCAGAACATTGAAGATCTGATGCAGTCGGTATGTTTATGTGTATATGTGTATTCCCCGAACGGTGCTTGCCCTTAGAGGTTCTTGCTTCTGTTACGTCAGGAACCGGATGGGTGTGTCGGGTTTTCGCCACGCTGCCGCCCGTGCTGCTTCGTGGGGTGCCGCCTTGTGGGCGCCTCGGGAGTGTACCACGCTTGGGATTGTTCATGGTTGCGTCGCGTTGCCGCCCGTGCCGCCTCGTGGGCGCCCCGCGCGATTGGGGGTATAGTATGTTTTCTCGACGTTGCCGCTCATGCCGCCTCGTGGGCGCTCCTTGCGCTGGGGGGTATGTTGGGTGTTCGCCACGTTGCGTGGGCGCCTCGTGGGCGCCACGTGCTCTAAGCTTACACGGCATAGCTGTCACCGCACAGGTCAGATCATATAGCTGACACCGGACACATGTACCTATACAGATACACGTAGATATATACATATATATATATATATATTTATATATATATATATATGTATTACAGCTTACAGCACAGCGCACGCCGCTTGCAGCAGTGCGCAACATAGCTTGCAGACACGACATAGCTTGCACCCCATAGCGTCCACCATCAGCTCACACCGCCTAGCCTACACGTCATACTTTTTCCACGCAGCTTCCCCAGCACAGCTTGCACCACACAGCGTACGCCGCATAGCACCCGCCCGTACCGCCTCGTGGGCGCTTCGTGGGCGCCCCGTGCGCTGGGGGCGTATGCAGAGGCTTCGTCACGTTGCCGGCCGTGCCGCCTCGGTCGGGGCGTCCCCTGCGCTGGAGCGAGCATGCCGAGGTTGCGCCGCCACATCGCCGTCCGTGCCAACTCGTGGGCGCCCCGTGCGCTGGGCGAGTACGCCGAGGACTCGCCACATTTTGCCGTTGCCGCCCTGTGCCACCTCATTCGCGCCTCGCGGGAGCCCCGCGCGCCGGGCGGGTCTCCCGAGGCTGCGCCACGTTGCCGCTCATGCCGCTTCGTGGGCGCCCTGTGCTCTGAGCTTGCACGACGTAGCTTTCACCATGTAGCTTGCACCACGTAGAGTGCACGGCATAGCTCACACAACGTAGCTTACCTTACATCACGTCCCACATCAAATCACCTAGTTTGCTCCCCGTAGCTTTCACCTCCAGTTCGCATCACATAGCTTCCACGACATAGCTAACACATAGCTTACACTGCAGAGTTTTCACCGCCATAGCCCGCACCAAATAGCTTACCCGACACAACGTCCACCATACAGCTTACACTATATTGCCTTCATCTCCACAGTGCAATACCAGACTCTTTGGGGTCCGCACTGGCGAACCTATAAATAAATATATATATATATATATATACACACATACATATATCGGAGCAGGGCCCGGGGGCGGCCCGGGGCGCTGCCTGTAATCTCCATGGGGGGTGCAGGGCGCCCCCGGGAGCGTCCGAAGCGTCCCGGAGGGCCCCTGGGACCGCCAGGAACAGTTCGAGACCGCCCAAGACGGCCCGCGAGCGATCCAAGACGCGCATAGATAGCCTCAGGAATGGCCAGGAAGGTTCGAAGACGTTCCAAGAGAGCTCCATGAGGCCCCGAAGGCATCCCAAGAGGCCTCCCAAGAGAGCGCCGACAAGCCAACATCGTTGATTTTTATTGTTTTTTTGAGGTGTTGGGCCTTCTCGCTTTTTCGGGGTTCCGACGCTCCCAGACCGTCCAACAGTCTCCCAAAACCGCTCCAAGACGGCCGAAGAGGCCCCCAAGACCGCCCCAAGACGGCCCAAGAGACCCCCAAAAGCGTCCGAAGATTGCCCAGGAGAGCCCCAAGATGGCCCAGGAGCCGCCCAAGACGGTTCCAGGAGAGCCCCGACAGGGCTTCAAGACTGCCTAAGCGAGCCCAGCGGGCCCCAAGAGGGCCCCGCGAGGCCCCAAGAGGCCCCAAAGAGGCCCCCAAGAGTGACCCTGAGCGCGCCCCAAGACGCCTCCAGGAGAGCCCAACAGGCCCCCAAGAGGCCCACTGGAGGCCCTCAGGAGATCATCCCCATCATGTTCCCGGAAGGCGGTCCGGGAACATGATTCCGCGCCTTGGAGGAGTATTCTGCGCCTTCCGAGGCGCCTTGGACGACGTACGATATATATATATATATATATATATATATATGTATATTTGTGTGTGTATGTGTATGTGTATGTGTATCTGTATGTGCATGTGTATGTGCATGTGCATGTGCATGTGCATGTGCATGTGTATGTGTATGTGTATGTGTATGTGTATGTGTATGTGTATGTGTATGTGTATGTGTATGTATGTATGTATGTATGTATCTATATATACATAAATATACGTATGTATGCAAGCATGCATGCATGTCTTTCTGTCTGTCTGTCTGTCTGCCTGCCTGCCTGTCTGTATGTATGTCTGTATGTATATATATATATATATATATATATATATATATAGATGTCGGGGTACGGGGCCGGGGGCCTCTGGCCAGCTGCCTCGACTCGCCATGGGGGCCCCCCCCGGCCATTTTTTGGCACCCCTCACGAGGATCGTGGCCCCCTCGCCGAAAATTCCTGCCCTCAGTCTCCGAAGAGGCCACAAGAGGCCACAAGTGGTCTCCTGAGGGCCCCAAGAGAGCCCCAAGAGGGCCCCTGAGGGCCTCAAAAGGCAAACATCGGCACAGTTCCTTTGTACAACGTAAATTTTCAGCATGCTCACTGGCTTCGTCTTCACAGTGCCCTAGACGCCCCGGCGGAGCCCCAAGGCCCCAAGACAGCCCAAGAGAGACCCACCAAGAGGGCTCCAGACAGCCCAACAGGTTCGGCCTGTGGGGCTCACCGAACCCCCCGAGACGGCCCAAGAGGCCCCAAAGCCCAAAGCCCGTCCAGGAGGCTCCCAAGACGGCCGCAGGGAGGCCCAAGAGGGCCTCGATCGAAAGCATGTTCCCGGAAGCCTCTCCGGGAACATGATTTCTGGGTTCCGAGGACGCCCAAGAGGCCCACAAGACAGCCTCAGCGAGGCCCCAGAGGGCCCGAGATGGCTTGAAGATGGCCGATGAGGGCCCAAAGAGGGCCTTCAAGAGGCAAGAATCTGCCCATTTCCTTCGTAAAACGTACATTTTCAGCATACTTGCTGGCTTCGTCTTCGCAGTGCCCCAGACGCCCCCGAGGAGCCCCAAGACAGCCTAAGAGAGACCCAGACGGCCCAAAAGTGTCGGCCTCTGGGGCTGACCGAACCCCCCGAGACGGCCCAAGAGGCCCCGAAGCCGGCCCAGGAGGCCCCCAAGACGGCCTCAGGGAGGCCCAAGAGGGCCCCGTTCGAAATCATGTTCCCGGAAGCCTCTCCGGGAACATGGTTTCCGGGCTCTCAGCGCTCCCTACTGGGCCCCAGGACAGCTTCAGCGAGGCTCCAGAGGGCCCGAGATGGCTTGAAGATGGCCGATGAGGGCCCCAAGAGGGCCTTCAAGAGGCAAACATCAGCCCGTCCCCTTAGTAAAACGTACGGACTCGGCGCGAGACAACTGGCGACCGCAGTTACCGTCCCTTCGTGCTGGGCGCGTGCGAACCTGGCGTTCAGTTTGGACGGAACGTGTCGGGTCTGTTGCCAATCGGGGCTGCGCCAGGTTAGGCCACCCCCAAGGTCAGGTTCGGGAATGGGTCGTAGCAACACGACGACGACGACGACGACGGCACGCCCCAACAGGCTCCCCAAGACGCCCCAAACCCATGCTCCCAGAAGGCCTTCTGGTAACCCGATTCATACGGCCTCCGCCCCCCTACACAACCGTTTTCCTCGAAGGCCTTTCGGAATGCAGATTGGTATGCGTGGACTGTGGTCCACTACTTCAGTGGAGCAGTTAATTCGTCAAGGCCTGGGGCCTGCTAGAACCTGAGCGCGCGCGAAGCGCGCGCGATGGTTCTAGTATATATATATATATATATGCACATATACATAAACATGTATATACACATGCATCTACACCTATATATACATAAAGATATACACATTTACACCTACACATATATGTATGAAAGGGCGCGCTCGCAGCAGACTTCTCACTCAAAGGGGGGGCGCAGCTTGAAGCTGCTCCCCCCCCCTCCTTGGAAAAGAGGGGGGGCTTCGAAGCACCCCCCCCCTGCTCTTGTTTGGATTTTGCAGCTGGCGGGTCCCTGGTTAAGGGGGGAGGGCTTGGAAGCTACCCCCTCTTCCTTCATTTTCGGGGTTCGAGATAAGCCTGGGCTCCCCTTTCAAAAGGGGGGCGTGGTTTCCGAAGCTACCGCCCCCCTCTCCCCTCCTTCTGTTGGCTTTTCCAGCTGGAGGCCCCTGGCTGAAGGGGGGGCTTCGAAGCTACTGTTCTTCTTTGGTTTTCGGCGCGTCGTAGGTTTCCGGCGTACTTGTGGTTTTCGGATTCTTTTTGGTTTTCGGCGCCTTTCTGGTTTTTGGCCGCCCCTTTGGCCTTTGGCGCCCCTTTGGTTTTCGGCGCCCCTTTCCTTGTCGGCGCTCTTTGGGTTTTCGACGCCTTGTGGCTTTCGGCGCCCTTTTTGATTTTCGGCGCCCTGTCGTCTTCGTATCTTCCGTTGTTTTCGGCGCCCCGCTCGTTTTCGGCGCACTTTGGTTTTCTGCGCGCCTTTCTTGTTTTTTGCGCACCCTTTTTGGTTTTCGACGCCCTCTTGGGTTCCGGCGCCCCTCTGGCTTTCGGTGTCCTTGTGGTTTCGGCGCCTTTTCATTTTTTTTCGGCGTCCTTTCAGTTTTCGGCGTCCTTTTAGCTTTCGGAGTTCTTTTTAGTTTTCGACGCCTTGTGGTCTTCGGCGCTCCTTTAGTTTTTGGCGCTCTTCGGCTTTCGGTACGCCTTTGGTTTTCGGCGCCATGTTGGATTTCGACGCCCTTTTAAAGGTTATCGGCGCCTCTTCTTAGTTTTTTGGGCGCCGTTGTGGTTATCGGCTCCCCTTTGATTTTCGGCGCTCCTGTGGTTTTCGGCGCGTTTTTGGTTTTCAGCGCTTTTCGGTTTTCGGCGCCCCTTTCGTTTTCGGCGCTCCTTTTGGTTTTCGGCGCCCTTTCTGATTTTCGGCGCCTTGTCCGTCTTCGTAACGTCTGTTGTTCTTGGCGCCCCTTTCGTTGTCGGCGCCCTTTCGGTTGTCGGCGTCCCATTGGTTTACGCTCTTCTGGTTTTCGGCGCATCGTTGGTTTTCGGCGCCCCTTTCGTTTTCGGCGCTCCTTTTGTTTTTCGGCGCCCCATTGGGTGTTCGGCGACCCGTTGGTTTCCGGCGCCCTGGTGGTGTTCGGCGTTCTTTGATTTTCGGTGTCCAATACGGATTTCGGCGCCTTTTGTATTTCCGGCGCGTCTTTGGTTTTTGGATCAATGTTTTGTGTTCGGCGCTTTTTGGTATTCGTCCTCCTTTTGGTTTTCGGCACCCCTTTGGTTTTCGGCGCCCCTTTGGTTTTCGGCGACCTTTCGGTCTTCGGCGTTCCTTTGGTTCTTGGCGCTCCTTTGGTTGTCTCCCCTTCGGTTTTCGGCGCTCCTTTGGTTTTCGGCGCCGTTTTGGTTTTCGGTGCCCTTTTGGTGTTCGGTGCCCCTTTGGTTTTTGGCACCGTTTTGTTTTACGGTGCCCTTTTAGTGCTTGGTGACCCTTTGGTTGTCGGCGCCATTTTCCAAAGGGCGCCAACAACCAAAGCGGTTGTCTGGGGTCAGAGACGGGGGTCGTTTATAGGAATGGCCCCAGAAAGGGGAAATGGAGGGCGACTAAAACGGAAATTTGCTGTCGTTTTGGTGTGAGGGTATTTTGGGGTCATATATGTTTTTGAACGGTTTGAGCTTGGGCTTTTGTAACTCGGTGATGTTCAGCCACACAGCCACAATCAGACCTGCTAAACGATCCAGGAATTTAAACATCGGAGCTTCGCTCTCCCCCTGGTCTGCCCCCTCTCCCCCTCTCTCCATAGCCTGTCTTCGGCTCAGAACGGGCGGAGCACCGCATGCTCTCCCCAGGTTCCGCTGCGGTGCTTCCTGCCTTGAGCTTGGCGCTGTTCGCGGGGCTAGGGTGGCGTCTGTCTCCTCCGCCTCTGGTGCCCGAGGCGCTGCCTGTGTCTCCAGCGTGGCTCGACGAGGTCTCGGAGGCCTGTGAGGCGGCCTCCTCCGCCGCCCTGTGCGCCGAGTCGGCCGCGCGGGCGGCGCTCGACGTGGCAGCCTCGCCGCCGCCCCCGCCGCCCCCGCCGGCGGCCTGCGAGCCCTGCGTGTGCCCGGAGCAGCAGGGGGACGACGAGCTGTGGGCGCTGGTGGTGCACGTGCTCGTGGGTCTCCTCACGCCAGCGTGGCTCTGGCTGACGGATCGTTGCTGCAGCCGCCCCAATCGCCCGGGTCTCCGACAGCATGCTGGGCCGCCGCGGGCGCCGGGCACCCCTGCCCCCTTTGTCCGCGGGGGAGGCGTGGTGCGCTGATCTGCCCTGCGGGGCACGCGCTAAGGAGAGCTAGCTCGGCGACCTCGTGGATCACGAGCGGGTCGTCGTGTGGCCGTCGAGGCGCGAGGAGGACGGGGAGGTGGTCGGCTCGCACCTGTACTGGGTGCTCTCGCCGGACGGGGACCTGTGGGAGGAGCTCCTCTCGGGAGCCTCCCCGGCCGACGGCCCCTCCGGCAGTGAGCGCCTGGTAGCCGGCGCCGCTCCGCCCGCTGGAGACCGCAAGCTCTACGGCTTCAGAGAGAGGCTCACGCTGAATCGGCTGGTGGAGCTGGCGGAAGAGTGCAGGGCTGCGATGGAGGCTCGTGGGCAGACGCTCGCGGAGGCGCCGGCCAGTATTGAGCTCCCGTCGGACGTCCTGCTGGACATCAGCGAGGTGTTCCCGTGGGCCCCCCCGCCTCGCGCGCCCGCCCTGCCGGCGCACCCTCTCGCGGGCGGCGGCGCGGGCGACGCCCTTGCCGCGGCCCCTGCCGGGGCGCCCGCGCCCCCGCCAGAGGGTCACGTGTGGGCCTTGGCGGAGCCCGCGCCTGGGCTGCCGATTGGCTCCATCGTGGACGCCACGACGGAGACCCCGATTGGGGTGGGGATCGACGCCCTCTGGCACCGGCGCGGCCGGGCATGGCGAGTGGAGCAGATGCCTGAAGCGGAGGTGGCCGACTGGACGTCACGGCGCGTGGAGAAGCTGCGCCGCCTCCTGGAGATGGTGCCGCCGGCCGCTGCTCCTGGTGATGGGCCCCTGGCCCTCGGTGCCGGACCTGCTCCAGGCGGGGAGGTACCACCGCCAGGGCCAGGCGACCGCCACGCGGGGGCCGACGCCGGCGATGGAGGCCCGAGTCCAGAGGAGCGCAGTGGCGACGACACGAGAACCCTCTGGGTCGAGTGGGACGAGCAGGGGGAGCGGTTCAAGGAGTTCAGGAAGGCCATCAACGAGTCGGTGAGCCACGACTGGGGGCATCAGCGGCTCGAGGGGGGCCTGACGTGCCTCCACACGTGCAAGATGATGTACCGCACGTCGGGCCCCCCGCGAGCGTGGCTCGAGAAGTTCCTGAGAGAGAGAGAGAGAGAGAGAGAGAGAGAGAGAGAGAGAGAGAGAGAGAGAGAGAGAGAGAGAGAGAGAGAGAGAGAGAGAGAGGGAGAGAGAAAGAGAGAGAGAGAGAGAGAGAATATCGCGCCCACCGACCGGGTGGCCCACGAGCTGCGGCCCCTGACGGAGGCGCTTGAGGAGGCCGGCTGCTTCGACCAGCTGAACCTAGGCGGCCTCGCCTGCCTCGAGGTCGTCGCCCGCCGGCTCAACGCCATCGTGGATGCCTACAAGCGCGGCGGGGCCCCGTCGTTCGCCAACGCCAAGTACCTAACGCCGCTCGGCGAGGCGGACGAGCTGCCGGCACCGGCCTCGAGGCAGCGCGTCTCCCGCCGCGCCGAGGAGGACTGGGAGGTAGAGCAGTCCATGAAGAAGGCGGAGGCCGTGGACTCCCGCATCACGTCGGGCGCCGCGGCCAGGGGGGCCACCAGCAGCGGCGGCGCCGCGGGGGCCGGCGGAGGGGATGCCAAAGGGCGGGGACGTGGCCGCGGCCGCGGTCGCACGCCAGGGCCCCCCCCGCCGGTCCAGTCATGACCAAGACGGGTCAGCCGGGGGATTGGGCCCCCCCCGGCTGGGAGCAGGACCAGGCCCGCGCCTCTCCGTTGCCGCCGTCCGAATTTGAGAGAGACCTGTTCCCGGTGCCGCTGATGCAAGTGCCATGCGTTCTGGCCCGCGGGCGCAGGTCTCAGCATAAGGCACGCGCGCGGCTACATGAGGTGGAATTGGTGAACCGCGCTTTGGCCAGCCTGAACTGGATGTCGTCGACACCGCAGCCAGGCGCCTCGACCCTGGCCAAGCATGCAGCCCTTCAGCAGTATCTGTGGTGCGAGGCTCATCGGCGCCAGGCCGCAGCCCCCCCGGCGCTGCCGAAGGCGGAGGCAGCCCTCAGAGAGCTGCTCCGGAGGGCAGTCCGTGTACGAGATGGACGTCGCCCCGAGGAACCTCGTGCCCAGCAAGGTCTCGCTTCCCGAGAGCGCGCTGGAGTGCCGCTTCCTCGAGGACATTGCGAGCCCCGGCTGCCGTTCTTTTCTGGAGGGGGATCAGAAGCGAATGAGGTTGGAGCCCGAGGCGGTCGACTTCGACAGCATGCCGCGGGTCTACATGGACCCTGTGCTGAAGAGGAATTCTAAATGCTACCGCGCTTTCGTGCGGGATCTCGCTAGACGTGGACTTCTTGGAGTGACTTCGAGGCCCGCCGAGTCGGTGGGCGTCGTCTTCGCGGCCAAGTCGAGCGGCGCTCTGCGGCTGATCATCGACGCGAGGCGCAGCAACGGCCACTTCAGAGCGCCGCCATCCGCGCGGCTTCTGAGCAGCGATGGGGCTCGGGCGCATCGAGGTGGAGTTGCCGTCCGGGGCCCACCCCTCCCCCGAGGAGGGCCGTCGCTTGCTGAACGCCTTCACCGTGTGCGTGACCACGACCGACGTCAAGGACTGCTTCTACAGGATGCGGATCCACGAGGACCTCGGCCGGTACTTCTGCTTGCCAGCCGCCCCTTGGCACGTGCTCGAGGGGCTGCCGGTTGCCGGCCTCCCCGCCGAGGCGGCTTCGGACGCGATGGTGTACCCCTGCCTGGGGGCCCTGCCGATGGGCTTCGCGTGGATCTTGCACCTGGCCCAGGCCGCCAACGAGGACAGGGTCTGCCGGAGTGTCAGCCTCCAGGAGGCCGCGCCGGCTGGCCGCGAGCAGCCCCTGATGCAGGACCAGGCGGAGGCTTGTGCACTTCGCGCCTCGGCTCGAGGCGAGGGCGGGGCCCGCGTCTACGTCGACAATTTGGGCGCTGTTAGCGGCGACGTCGCCCTCAGCGACAGGATGGTGTCCGAGTGGAGCGACTTGTTTGAGCCGGTCGGGCTGGCCCCCCACATGTCGAAGTCCCACGACAGCTGGGGGGGGGCCCTCGGCACGGAGCTCGACGGGAGGCACCTCCGGTCGACCATGACGTCGGCCCGCTTCTGGAAGCTGGAGCGCGGCCTGACGGGGCTGTTGTCTCGGAGCCGCTGCAGCGGCCGAGCCCTTGAACAAGTGATCGGGCTCTGTGCCTTCTGTGGATTGGCGGCTCGTGAGTCCCTCTCGATTTTTCACGCGGCGTATAAATACTCACCCGTTACGAAAGTTATTCATCTTGAGCACTGACGACTAGGGCGTCTCCGAGTGCCCCCCCCTCCCCCCCGTAGACTCCTAGCACGGCAGTCTTCGGCCTGGCTTGGCGGGAGAGATTTCTGGGGTTCTCCCTGGTAGCATTAATAGTATATAACCAATTCAGGATAAAATCTCTTCCCCGTAAATTCACAAGAGAGAAATCACTCCCGGTCACTTCCAGGCAACTCTGAATCTCTCCCCGTGTGAAACCACAGGGAAGAATCACTCCCATACCACGTCTCACCACAGCGCCCACACATGTCAATTTTAGCCAAGATGAATTAACTTTCTTAACGGGGATGTATATTTCGACTCAGTATCTAGTAGTAGGCCCCCTATGGCCCGAAGTGGTCGAGGAGCTCCGGGCCTTCAGGGGGGCCCTTCTGCTGTTGGGTCGTGATTGGTGGATCCCTTGGAACCCGTGTGTTTTGGAGACCGACGCTAGCCTGGCGGGCTGGGCGATGGCTCAAAGCTTCTGGGACCCCTCGCAGGTGGCCCACGTGGGCCGCGTCTGCGAGCGAGCTCGGTTTAAACGCGTTGGCCCCCACTCGGCTCGGGAATCCGCACTCACCTCCGCCCACCTCTTCCGTGATGGAGACGGCGAGAGGAGAAGCAGTATTGTCGGGGATGAGTGTCGCCTTGACGACTGGGAGGTCGTGGCGGATTTTCCTGGGGTCCGCTGGCAGCTCCTCCGCGCCTCTGCATGGAAGACGGCTCGAAAGGGTGTCTGGGCTTTAGAGGAGGGCATCTTAGTGCTGGAAGCCCGGGCCCTAGCGAAGGCTATGCGTAGGCTCGCTCGAACCAGGCACGGCGCATGCATCAGGCAGCTCTTCTTGTGCGATAACATGGCCGTTGTTCTCGCCTTCGCCCGTTCAAGGAGTCACGACTTAAAGTTGCTAGTCCAGATACGCCGCTTCAATGCGTGCGCCCTGGCCTTCGGCATCGCCCCGTACTTCAGGCGGATCCCCTAGGAATTGAACCAGAGCGATGCCGGGAGCCGTGATCATTCCGAAGTCTCGTCTAAATTATTAACAGATGCCCTGAATCAGCAGGTTTTGCACGCTGTTTCAGCCACCGCGTCTCCCTTCCGTAGCCGTTTTGGCCCTAGCGATGTTTCAGCTCGCCTCGCCGGCATCCCTAAGGAGTCTCGTGTCCTAGATGCGGGCTCGTGTGCTGCGGCCCCCGCGGCCGCCTGCGGCGGCGGGCCCTCAGGCGCCGTCTCGGACCCCCCCGAGGCCGGGCGCGGTGCCTGCCGCGTGCCCGAAGGCGCTGCCGGCGGCGAAGGCGAGGGCGAGAACGCTGGAGAAGCTGGGCCCGCCCCCGCCGAGAGTGAGGAGCGTCCGGGCCCGCCTGGAGACCAGCTCTGCGATGCCGCCGCTGCCTGCCTCGCCGACGCTCGCCGACCTCGCGCCCGAGGTCTCCGCCGGCGCAGGCGCGGCGGAAGGCGAGGGCGAGCTCGACACGAGCGGTTCCGACAGTGTCGTGAATCAGGCGAGCGCGGCTCCGCGGAGGTCCCGCGTCCTCCAGGACTCCCGGCGCCGACGGAGAGCGGCGCTCTACGCGGACCTGATCATGCAGAGCAATTTGGAGGGGAGTACACTGCTGGAGCGCCTGGCGGTGACTCGCCGCACGAGGGGCCGCTACGCCGAGTATCTCGATCGCTTTTACTTGCACGCAGGCCTGGCGGACGAGAAGCTGGCGCAGGCCAAGGACGAGAACGTGGACTGCCTCCTCTGCGACTACTTCACCGCGATGCACCTTGTGGGCGAGCAGAGCAGTCTCGGGGGCCAGACCGGGGCCGCGCTGCTGGGCAGGCACCCGGCCTTCGGCCGTCGGGGGGGTCGGTCCCTGCCGCGCACCTGGCGGGCGCTGAAGGCCTGGAGGCGGCTGGCGCCGTCTCGCACCTGCCGGGCTTTGCCCCTCGCAGTCTGGGCGGCCGTGATGTGGCGCCTGGTGGACAAAGGGCTGGCGCTCATGGCCCTGTTCCTGGCGGTCGGCCTCTCGGCTTATTCGAGGCCCTCTTCCCTCCTGGCCGCTCGGAAGTGCGACCTGGCGCCTCCGTCTCGCGCGGCGGTGGACAGCTGGAGCCTCCACGCACGCCCGGATGAGGAAGGCAGGCCGAGCAAAACGAACCGCTACGACGAGGGCTGCCTGCTGGACTCGAGCTACCTGCGAGGTCTGGGCCCTCTCTTATCCTCTCTTCGCCCATCTGCGAGCTGCCGGGGGGACAGAGAAGCTGTGGCCGTTCAACTATCTGGAGCTCTCGGAGGCCGTGTCACTGGCCGCCGCCGCCGAGGTCGGCGCTGGGAAGATAATTTTGTACCAGCTACGCCATTCGGGCGCCGGCGTCGACGTGGGTCGGCGCGCGCGGACGTTCGAGGAAGTCCGACGCTGCGGATGCTGGGCCCAGGCGCGGAGCATGCACCGGCACGAGCACAGCAGCCGTCTCAGCGCCGAGTACGAGCGTTACCCGCCAGACCAGAGGCGGCTGCGCGAGTCCTGCGAAGCTCACCTCATGCAGATCATGCTGGGCCTTGCACATCCCGTCCGTTTCCGTCAGGAGATGTTGGCCTGGCAGGCCCGCGCTCCAAGCTGAGACACACGTACCGTGGTAGTAGGAGCAAGAACCTTGCGTCTCAAGGTTTCGCCCTGAAAGGGCAGTACATAGCCGTAGCTGGGACAAGGCCCACGATGCAGTTTGGCAGGACCTCACTGACCCTCGAGTCCTTGCCCCAATCCGGCGCGAGGCTCGGCGCGGCCGCATCCTGGCGGCCGCGCTTGCCCCCTCGTGCCAGACCTTCTCGATCGCACGCGACCGCACCTCGATGATTCGCTCTTCAGAGAGTCCCTGGGGTTTGCCCAGGCCGCTGCTGAGCAAAGCAGATGCGGAGAAGGTTCACGAAGGCAATCGTGTCGCCAAAGCTGCCATAGGTCTTCTTGCCGTCTTTCAGCAGCTCTCAAGGTTCCTGCCTTTCTTGAGCACCCGCTTACTTCTCGGCTGTGGCACACACGCGAAATCCAACCCCTGGCCTTTCTTCCCGGGGTTTACCTTGTAGAACTAGATCAATGTCAGTTTGGAGCCCCATGCAAGAAGCCGACTAGACTGATGTTTGGCCATGTAGTAGAGGACGATCTCAGAGACTCTGTAGGAAATGGCGTGGCCGGAATGGAAGATGCTCGCTCACGGGACTCCCTCATTTTCAGCTTGAAGGCAGTGCCCTCACTCGTCCAGCTGCCGCTTATCCGCCAAAGCTCGCGCACTGTATGGGACGGGCCCTCACGGCCTCCAGTAATGCTGCGTTCGGGTATAACAAATGCCCCCACCCCGCCCAACCCTAGTGAACTCCCGAATTCGGGAAACTCGGGGAGGAGTGAGAAAGCGCGCTAACTTTAACCTCTGGCCAAGACGTTTCGAGGCTTTCGTCAGAATCGTGCCCCTGCTGCATGGAAAAAGAGTTGCTCTGTATGTTCTTGAACGGTTTGAGCTTGGGCTTTTGCAATTCGGTGATGTACAGCCACGCAGCCACAATCAGACCTGCTAAACGATCCAGGAGTTTAAACATCGAAACTTCGCTCTCCCCCTGGTCTGCCCCCCCCCCCCCTCTCTCCATAGCTTGTCTTCGGCTCCCACCCTCTCCCTGGGAGGAGTGAGAGAGCGTGCTAACTTTAACCCGTGGCCAAGACGTTTCGAGGCTTTCGTCAGAATCGTGCCCCTGCTGCATGGAAAAAGAGTTGCTCTGTTTTTGTTTTGAATTATGTTTGGGTCAAGCTGTGGCTCCAGATCCCCGGCTTTTGGGAAGCATTTGAAAGCGTCGTTTGCTTTACATTATTGCATATACGTCGGTCTTCGAAGTGGGTTGTCCGATGGGTTAGGCGTCGTTTTAGGCTTCGATCTGTGCCCCGGAGCGTCGGTGCTCGGCCTAGGTCTTGCTGCTGTGTCTTGCGATGCACGTCGGTCTGCGGCCTCAGTATTAGTCTTCGGCCTCTGTCTTGCAGTGCCGTCGGTCTGCGGCCTCGGCTTACATGGTAAAACGTCCCAAATCGACCTCGGCTTTTCCACGGGGGTGGCTTTCTTGATTTCCTGAGTTCTGCGTGCACCATCGCTCGCCGACAGCGCGGTTCCCCGCGGCCCCCACGATGCGTGGCACGTTTTAAGGTGTCCAACAACGGCCTTTTTACCGCAGAGCACAACGGGCACGCGCTTGTCTGTATGAGTTCTGTTTCATACCGCGCAACGCGAGGTATGCAAACACAAACATAGTTTAACACAGTTTCGATATCACGCTCTGTTCGCGCGGAGGCTCGCGTTGCACAACCAAGGGACGTGGGCGAGCTTTCTGAAGATAGGACCGCGCGCACGTTGCCGAGAGTGTTTCGCATTGCGTCCAGATGCCGGAAGCAAGTCCCGCCACCGCGCCAGTCCAGCACTGTGGATGGCGACTGTTCGAACGATGATGACGCTGATGATGACGACGAGGCTGGTTATGATGATGGCGACGAGGACGACGATGGTGATGGTGATGGTGATGTGGAGAAGGAAAAAGGAAGGTTGTCACATGTGACGCCTGTCCACTCCGTATCTTGAAGAGCATTCATCGAGTTCACGCAGTCTTGGGGGCCTCTTGCGGCTTTCCTGGATTGTTTGGGGTTCCTATTGGGCCGTCTTGGGTCTCTCTTTCGGCCTTCGCGGGGGCGCCCTGGGGGCGTCTGTGTCTGTCGGGTGTCGGGGGCCCCTCTCAGACCGTCTTGGATCCATTCGGCGGTCCTCGTTGGCTGTCTTGGGGATCTCGGGGCCGTCCGGCGCCGTCTAGGGACCTGTTGCGGTTTTGTCGAGGCCGTTTTGGAGGTTTCTTGGCTAATTTAGGGGGCCGTTTGGGCCGTCATGGGGCAGCGATGGAGGCTTCCTTGGCCGTCTCCAGCTGACAGCAGCCCACTTTAACCCCGAATCAATGAAGCGCCGTTTCAAAATCAGGGAGCGTCGTCCCTGGGGTCTTGCGGGAGTCCCCTCGGGGCCCTCTTGAGTCGTCCTGGGACGTATTGGGGGCTTCTCTGAACCATCTTGATTTCGTCTTCGGCCTCCACGGGGCCATATTGGTTCGTCTTGGATCCATCTTTGGCCGCCTAAGAAAGAACCCGAGGCCATCTCGCCGGCCGCGGTGGCCTTCCTGGGCTGCCTGGGAAGACTTGGAGAGCCTCAGGGAGTGAACGCGGTCGCCCAGGGACCTTTGGGCGGAGGGGCGGCGCGCGGGAAAGCATGCGACGAGACGGGCGGGCTCCGCGGGCGAATGGAGGGACCCCGCCAGACAGCACCTGGCATTCTAACGCTCACTTATCGCGGCGGCGCTGGGCCGTCTGGCGCACGCGAGCGCGGCGGAGGCGGCCTCGGCGCCGCAGCGCGCGCGCGCCGGCGCAAAGGGCGCTCGCGTTAGATTTTCCGCGCGGGCGACGGCCTGGCACCTCCGCGCGCGTAAAGCGCAGCGCAAGCGGCCTTCCGTCGGGCGAGCCTCTGAGGCCGCCAGCGCGTCATGGCCGAGCCTCGCCCGCCACGCGCTGTCGCGGTCTCGCGCGAGGGAGGCGATTGCGCGGTCAACCTGGGGCTGTCGACGGGCGGTTGGGTTGACAATCCAGGTCGATCAGCGCGCGGTCGGGCGGTCAACCCAGGTGGTCAATCCGGTCGGTCAACGCGCGACGTGGCGGTCAACGCGCGGTTGGGCGGTCAACCGCGGCGGTCAATTCGGTCGGCCAACGCGCAGCGGGGCGGTCAACGCGCGGCTGGGCGGTCAAGTCGGTCGATCAATTCATCAACGCGCGCGTCGGCCGATCAACTCGGCCGACCAACTGGGCCGACCAATTCGGCAACGCGCGCGCGCGCCTAACTCGGCCGACCAACTTGGCCGATCATTTCGGCCGATCGACTCGGCCGACGAACTCGGCTGAACAACTCGGCCGATCAACTCGGCCGATCAATTTGGACGACCAGTTCGGCTGATCAACTTGGCCGATGAAAAAGCCGATCGACTTGGTTAACTCAACTGGGGCGGTCAACTCGGGGGGGGTCAACTCGGGCGGTCGATTCGTGCGCGGGCGCCCGCGCGCGCCGCGGGTGTTTGGGCGCGCCCGCTCACGCACGCCACGCGCGCGGGCGCGCCCGCCCGCGCTCGCGGTGGGTGCCGGAACATTTTCATTCAGAGCTGCCCAGACCAATGCGTTTTGCATGGCCCGGAGTTTCCCGGGCCTGTTCAGTTTCGGGCGACGCAGAATCGCCCAGGCGCTCGAAGCCTCGGTCGATCCAGAGCCTCCCAGACCTTGGCGCTTCGGTCGATCCAGAGCCTGCCAGACCCTTGCACTGGGACCCTCTGGTTGTTGGATTTCATGCAAATCGCTCGGCTGGCGCCGAGACGCCCCGCGTCCTGACGACGCGTTTCTGTGCGTCGATGGCATGGGCCCGAGAAAGCTGGAAGTTGTCGTTGTGGCCACACTTGGGCATACAGCGGCACCCGTGGCTCATCTGCGACTAGAACCTAATCGCGCGTGTAACGCGCGCGTGGTTTTAGTATGTATGTACGCATGCATGCATGTAGCTACGTTTGTATGTACGCATGTATGGTTGTACGATGGCACGTATGTGTATGCATGTATGTATGCATGTATGTATGTATGTATGTATGTATGTATGTATGTATGTATGTATATGTGTATATATGCACGTATATATATACACATACGTACATACATACATACGTACATACATACATACATACATGCATACACACACGTACATACATACATACATACATACATACATACATACATACATACATACACACATACATACATACATACATACATACATACACACATACATTCATACATACATATACATCGGTATATATATATATATATATATATATATATAACCCGGTGCACGAGACCGGGGCGCCCGGGACCGCGACCTCGGGTGCGCATGGGGGGTCAAGGGCTCTTGGGGCGCTCCCGTGACGCCCCTGGAGGCGCCAGACCGCCCAAGAGAGGCCGAGGACGCTCCCAGAAGTCCCCGGGGAGCCTCCAAAAACCTCCCCAGGAAAGTTTAGATGGCCCCAACGTGGCCAAAGATGGGCCCAAGACGGCAAACAGACCGCCCTATAGATTTTGAAACGGCCCCAACAGAGCTCCGAGAGGCGTCCCACGATGGCCTGACGAGGCCAAAATCGTTGATTCTCATTGGTTTTGTCGATGTTTGTTGCTTTCTCGCTTTTCCAGCTTTCCGACGCTCCAAAACGGCCCTGGAGGTTCCCACGGAAACCCCAAGACGGCCCAACAGGACCCCAATGGAGCCTCATGACAGCCCAAGAGAGCCTCTAGAAGGCGCAGGAGGCCCCCCCGCGGGCCCCAAGACGGCCCAAGAGCCGCCCAAGACGGCCCAAAAGGCCCCCAAAACGGGGAGATCCGAGTGGACTTTTCGGGCCGTCGGCCCCAAGAAGCTCCCAAGAGCCCCAAGGGGCGCCCAGGAGGCCCCCAAGCAGCCCCAGAGGCCTCCAAAAAACCACCCAGAGAGCTTCGAGAGGCGTTCCGAGATGGCCTCGAGGCTAACATCGTTGATTGTCATTGGTTTTTCCCAACCCTCCTGCGTTGGATTCTCGTTTTGAATAGAGCACTGCTCGCGCGAACCTTCCTTCCCACCCCTCCCGTCCCTCTCTTCCCCCCTGCCTTTGACCTCGCCATCCCTGGGGGGGCTGCGATCTGCGAAACTTTCGCCACTTTCGAGGGCTGCTGGGGAGGCCAGCAGAGAGGGTACCCACCGCGGACCCAAACGGGACCTCGCCGTCCCTGGGGGGCTGCGATCTGTGAAACTGTCGCCACTTTCGAGGGCTGCTGAGGGGCCCAGCACAGTGGGTACTCACCGCAGACTCAAATTAGACCTCGCCATCCCTGGGGGCTGCGATCTGTGAAACTGTCGCCACTTTCGAGGGCTGCTGAGGGGCACAGCACAGTGGGTACTCACCGCAGACTCAGATTAGACCTCGCCATCCCTGGGGGGCTGCGATCTGTGAAACTGTCGCCACTTTCGAGGGCTGCTGGGGAGGCCAGCAGAGAGGGTACCCACCGCGGACCCAAACGGGACCTCGCCATCCTTGGGGGGCTGCGATCTGTGAAACTGTCGCCACTTTCGAGGGCTGCTGAGGGGCACACAGCACAGTGGGCATTCACCGCAGACTCAGATTAGACCTTGCCATCCCTGGGGGGCTGCGATCTGCGAAACTGTCGCCACTTTCGAGGGCTGCTGAGGGGCACAGCACAGTGGGCTTCCCGCACGTTTTTCTCTTGCTCTTCGTTCCCGACTCCCCATGTCCTCTTCGAGCCTGTAGTTGTCGCCCCTCATTCTTGTATGGTTCTCCTGCGCATCATGCCATAGGCGCGTGTCCCAAGTAGCTTACATATCAAACACTGGATCCTGCAATTTGATTGTCCATGCAAGTTTCGGCCAACTCCTCGTTTCCCATGGTACAAATGGGTTGGGTACGTCACAGGGTAATTTTATGTTGTTTGCTTTCTCGCTTTTCCAGCTTTCCGACGCTCCAAGACGGCCCTGGAGGCCCCCAAGGGAGCCCCAAGACAGCCCAAGAGGACCCCAAGGGAGCCCCATGACGGCCCAAGAGAGCCCCAAGACAGCCCAGGGACCCCCAAGCGCGCCCCAAGACGGCCCAAGAGCCGCCCAAGACGGCCCAAGAGGCCCCCAAGACGGGGAGGACCCGAATGGACTGTGCGGGCCCTCGGCCCCAAAAAGCCCCCAGGAGCCCCAAGAGGCGCCCAGGAGGCCCCCAAGCAGCCCCACAGGCCTCCAAGAACGCCCCCAGAGAACTCCGAGAAGCGATCCGAGATGGCCTCACGAGGCCAAAATCGTTGCTTTTCATTGGTTTTTACAATGTTTTTAGCTTTCTTGCCCAAGACGGCCCTCGAGGCCCCCAAGAGAGCTCCAAGACGGCCCAAAAGGCCCCCAAGGGAGCCCCATGACGGCCCAAGAGAGCCCCAAGACGGCCCAGGAGGCCTCCAAGGAGCCCCAAGACGGCCCAAGAGGCCCCCAAGACAGGGGATCCGATTGACTTTGCGGGCCCCCAAGAACCTTCCAATAGACCCCCGAGAGGCCCCCAAGAGGCCCCACACAAGCCTCTGACCGGACGCCCTCGGATACTTTTGCTGCTCCCGAAGCTTCCGGGCAACTCTTCGCTTCCTGAGGCCGTTCTCGGCCACCGGTGCCCCTGAACCGGCCCCGGGCCCACCAAAACAGGATGGTGGAAACCCGACCCCGGGGCGGGCGGGCCGACCTTTCTCTCCTCACCCAGGACAGCCCCGGATGGGGTCCAGGTGGAGATGACTGCAGTTCGTGCGCCGATCGTGGTGCTACTGATGATTACGATGGTAGACGCGGTGGCACTGGCCGTGGTGGTGATGATGGTGGTCGCGGTGGTCGCGGCAGTGGCAGTGGCAATGGTCGTGGTATTGGTGGTGGTACAGGCGGAGATTGAACGCATGGCCGTTACGATGGTCGCGGAAAGTGCAATCGTCGTGGAAAAGGTGGTCATGCCCAGAATGGACATGGAATCGGAAGTGATCGTGAACGCGGTGATGGCGCAAAAAGAAGTCGTAGCCGTGGCGGCATTGCCAATGTTAAGAGTGGGCGCAAATGTGACTAGAACCCAAGCGCGCGAAGCGCGCGCGTGGTTCTAGTATGTACAAATGTATGTATGTAATTGTGCGTTCATGGTTGTAGTGTATCATATGTATGCAAGTACGTGGGTATGCATGTGTGTATGGCTTTATGTATGTATGTGTATGTCGTTCTGAATGGTTTCGTTTGGCATGCGCCTAAACGGTTTTATTCCCCCCTGGCCGTAGTGCTCTGTCGCCCCTCCTCCTCCCTGCTCCCGCAGCTGTTTAGGTTAAGCAGCGTTTTTTTGCGGAGGGGGTGCACCCCCTTAACTCATGTTTGGCCTCGCTTGCTTGGCGGTCCCGCTCATCTCGGCCGCCGCGGTCCTCTGTGGAGTGGGCCGTCTCGCCGCAGGGACCCACCCGCCCCACGGGGCGCGGAGGGGATACGGGCACCCCGTTTGGCTACCACGGGACCCTATCACCTGCGGGCTGGATGACGCCCCACCTGATCCACTAGAGCATTATCCTGGTGGCGACCCCAAGGAGCAGTCTCCCCCTCGACAGGGAGCCCTTGGGCCGGACGCCCCCACAGCCCCAGACCCGGCCGCCGCTCAGGCCGGGAACCACCCCGAGCTATCTCTCGGGGAGGGAGGGGACTTCCCCACCTCATCCAACCTCGCAGCCCCCACTTTGACCCCCATCCTCTCCCCCATCCCGGGGAGATCCGCCAGGGCGAGAGGCTCGGCCCAAGGCAGCACCCCGGGTGGCACGCCTACCCCCCTCTGGTGGGGGGAACTCGCGTCGTTCGCGTTCGCCCCGGCATCGCCGCAGGCCAGCCCCACAAGCGTGGACGCGCCGCCCGGACGCTGGGGCGGCTCCCCTGGGTGGGCCCGCACGCCAGCCCCCCCGTCTGCCACGCCGGCGGTGAGTCCCGCCGAAGTGAGGACGCCTTCGCCGACCCCGCCGGAGGACACCCCAGGTGGGACGCCGACCCCGTTCTGGTGGAGCTTCTCCGCCCCCGCCGAACCCCCCGCGCCTGCGGGGCCAGGCTCGGGAACCGTCCCCCCGCCGCGTTCGGCCCTCCGCGGGGGGCACACCTCCCCCGCTCCGCAGCCGGGGGACGGGCTACCCTGGTCCAAGCAAATCCCCGCGGAGGAGTTCGTGGAATGGCTGAAGTGGGCCTCTCCCACCCCCACGGAGGAGGAGCAGGAGGAGGCGGACGAGACCCCCTGGTGGGAGAACCACTGGTTTGCCGGCCGCCGCCGGGAAGTGGTGCTGGAGGTCCGGAGCGTCCCTGGCCCCAACTTCTTCTTCCGCCTCATCGTGTGGTCCTACGGATGGCTGGATGCCGGCCTGACCGTCTTCGCGGGGGAAAGGTGGGTGAGGTTTGAGGTAGGCGTGTACGTGCTGGGCTCCTTCTACCTGGGCGCCATGGGGATCTGCTTTCTGGTCCTCCTCCTCGACCACCTGGCCCGCCCCTTTTTCTGGTTCTACCGCCGTCTGAGGCGCTCCCCCACCTTCTGCGATTTCTGCACCCGGGTGGAGGACAACCGCCGGTTCCCCCTCGATCTCGACTGGAGGGGGCCTGATGCCCAACCCGTGGACGACGACATCGTCCGAGGGAGGAGCGACCAGCCCCCGAGGCTGCCCAACCACCTCGTGGCCGAAGTCGGGGGCCAGCGGGTACGCCTGGATCGAGGGCAGCACGGTGACCCCATCCGGAAGGAGAAGCGGGCGGGCCAGGACTTCCCGCACGCCCGGGTGCATGACTGCACGGACCCTGACCTCCGACGCCGCCTGGAGGGTGCGGACACCAAGGTGGTCCACCTCTGCAGGGCGGGACCCGTGGGCGGCTGTCCCAGCGTGGACGCCTTCGCCATGCACTTCCGGAAGTATACCGCGGTCGACGCCAAGGCCATCCTCGAACTCACCGAGGACAGGGGCCTGGGAAGCCCCTTCCTGGCCGGCTTCCGCACCCTCTGGAGGGCATTCTGGGGTGGGGTCCAGCGCATCGCCCATTCCTTCTTGGCCCGGGGTTGTTGCTGCTGCCGGAGGGGGGCCCGCCTGCGCCGGCCGGGACCACGCCAGGTCACCGCGAGCCCCCGGGGACCTCGGCAGGAGGAAGACGACTGGGAACCCTGCATGGCCGAAGCAGTGGGCTGGATGGACGCGAAGGGAGGGTACTGTTGCCTCCAGAAGCATGGCACTTGCGAGGATCGGAGGGGACCCAAGCCCACCCCTTTGCTCATCGAGGACGGGCCCACGTCTGACACCCGGGGGTGGCCGCGCAACGGGGGAGGGGCACCGATGGCCTGCCTGTGCCGCTACCACGGCCTGGAGTACCACAACCTCCGCCTGAGCCGGATCCAGTGCTCGGAGCCAGGCTGCTGGCACATTGGGGAACCCGGGTTCGGTGGGAAGCGCTTCTGCCTCAGGCACGCGAACCCCTCTCCGCAGCCTCCTCGAGGGGAAGGGAAGGGCGGAAACTAGCAAGTCCCCCCCTGACCCAGCACGCCTAAGCGATGCCGGGCCAGCCGCCGAACCCTCCGCGGCCCCCACTGCGGGCCCTGCGGAGGGGAAGCCCGCACTGGGGGCAACCGGGGAGCCTCCCTCCCCCCCGCCCGCGGAGCCGGCCGCCTCCGAGGAGGTGCCCCCTAACCCCGCGGCCGCCCCTGGCGTGCCGGTGGGACCTGACTGCCACCAGCTGACGCACGGCGTCCCGGGCGCACTCGTGTCTGAAGGCACCCCCGAAGGGGATGGGGAGGCCCCCGCGACTGTGAATGGGGGGAAGGCTACGCCACCCCTGACCATCCCCGCCCAGGCGGAGGACACGGTCGGACGGAAGTACTTGATCCGCCTCTACGAGCCCGCCGACACCGGGGGAGGCGCCCGCCCTTACACTACTGCCCGAGGGATAGGGCGGGGAGAGGCGCGGGGGAGAGGGGGGAAGAAGGACTGGGCGGGGATTTGGATGCCAGGAGTGGAGGTTGAGCTGACGTTCCCGCTGTGGGCGGTGGGACCCTGGAGCCTCTCTTCCGAGGGGCGCCTCAACGCCTCCCGCCCCCCATTTGACGCCCAGGAAATCACGGGGGCCACCTATGTCCAGCTGGGGGAAGCAAGTGAGGGCGGGGGGGGGCCCTGTACGCTGGCCGACCTGCTGCAGTGGGCGAAGTTCCTGACCTGCAAGTGCCCCCCCCACCCCTACGCGCGGGTCATCCCTCCCGGGCAGCAAGCTCGGGGAGGGGGAGCGCTGTTCAACGCCCTTGGGGAGCCGCGCCCCATCCTGCGCGCGGAGGGAAGATCTGCCTCCCCACCCCCTCGAGGCGGTCGCATCGCCCGCCTGCTCCACGCGCCCTCAAGCAAGGAGGAGCTGCTGAGGTCGGGGAGGGGCCACGCCCCGGGGCGCCGGGCGGGGGGGGCGCCGGCGATGGAGCCGAACAGCACGGAGCTGGGGCTGTACCTCCAGGCGGGTGCCACGGGCAAGCCGACGGGGGCGAAGATGCTGGAGGCGGCGGCGGCCGTGGGCCGGAAGCCACACCGAGTGCGGACCGCGATTCTGGAGCAGGCCCAGGGGCACCTGGAAAATCCGCTCCTCCTCCCCTCGGTGCGTCCTCGGCTGGAGGAGGTCACTGCCCAACTTGCCCAATGGGGAAGGGCAGGGGGCGCGGTGCGGGCCCTCGCCCTCCGACCGCGAGGGACCTCCCCCAAGCTGCCGCTGAAGCCCCAGGACCCCCGCCCCACGCCCCCGTGGAGGCGGGGGGAGAGCCCCCGCGCCCTCCAGCCGGCGGAGGGAACCCCCGCCGAATCGGCTCAGGCCGTCGTCCCCGGAGAAAGGAAGCGGAAGGGTTCCTCCGTTCCCGCGCTCCTGCGGGCGCACCGTCCCCCCGCGAGGGAAGAGGACGGGGGGGGAACCTCATATACCTCCAAGGGGCCGCGCGGAGGGTATGCCACCTCGCGCGGGGATGCGGCGCCTTCCAGGTGGCCGTGGGACCTGCCCATCTTGGGCGGGAGCTCTACTTGACCCTGCGCGGACATGGCCGGGGGGCCCTCGCCCTGCTGGAGGGGGTCGGCTGGCCCCTCCCGCTCAGCAACCGGATTGCGCATGGCTTGGCGGCCTGCCTGATGGGCGCCCCTAAGGCGGGACCCGCCGACCCGAACGCCCTCACGGTGGCCGACTTCGTGGTCGCAAGAGGCGCGGGCGCCGGGCCCCTCGTCGCCGCGGAGGGACACAGGAGGGAGCCCCCCTCGCCGGCCCCCGCAGACCTTGACACGTGGGCGGAGGCCGCCCAGACGCAGATCCGGGTGTTCGCCCTGACTTATGGGCAGGAGCACTCACTGCCCAGGACCACCGCCCTGCGGTTCTTGCTGCGCGAACATCAGGACCGGCCGGAGTACCTATCCCTCGCCGACTTGATGGAGGTCTGGGAGGAGCTCACGTGGCACTGGTGGGCGAAGATGCGGGACGAGCTCCGGTCCGTGGAGGCCGAGCTGGGCCCCCACCCAACCGCGCTGCCGGAGCTGACGGCCTATGCCACAGCCCCGGATGTGCGCGGGAGAGCCCGCGCGAAGATCCCCCGCACGTTCGTCGTCGAGGACCCCGCGGAGTACTACCACCGGATCGTTGCCCCGCGCCTTCGTCGGGGGAGGATCGGGCCCTGCCAGTCTCGGGGCGGGGGAGCCCTCCCCGGGCCCGGGCCCGTGTGTCCGAGGGGCGGTCGTGGGTGGGAAGAACCCCCCCTCGGGCCTGGCGCGTTCCCGCGCCCCCCTCCGAACACCAATCGGGAGCCACCCACCGAGGGCCCACCCCCCCCCTCCTCGGCCCCGCTCTTCTTTACGCCTACCCGCGCACGAGCGGAGGAGCGCAGGAGGTGGACGAGGAGGAGGCCCTCCCTGTGGGGGAGGAGGCGGCAGCATCAAGCCCGCCTGTGGACCCCCTGGAGTGGGGCGCCGCCTTGAGCCCCTACCCAGAAGAAGACGAAGTGGGGCCGGCCGCGAGGCAGGCGTCGCCGGAGCCCCCCCCCCTTCGCGTGGGAGGGAAGGGGCCGCCGGAGGCCGAGCCCTGCAGCCCCGCTCGGCGAGTGCGCCGCCGGGGGGCTTCGTGCTGAACGAGAGCCACACCTGCCTGGCCGACGAAGAGGGCGAGATCCGCTACCTGATTCCCCCTACCCAGGAGGCTTTGGATGCGCTGAACGAGGCGGCCGCCCGGGCTGGCGGGGACAACCCGGCCCCCGACGCGCCGCTCGAGGCGGGAAGGGACGGGGCGGGAAGCCAGAGCACCACTTCGGAGGAGGGGGAGATGCTGGTTGGCTACCTCCACGCCGCCCAAACCACCGCCGGCACGCCGCGGCGGGATGAGCCGGGGGAAGGTCAGACAGGAGGTCCCTCACCGGGGATCGAGGGGGAAGGGAAGGGGACAGCCCCCGTGGCGGGAGCCCTCCCCTCCTCCACAGCCTCGGATTACGCCCGAGCGGTGCGGGAGGCACTGGCGCGGGGGGCTACTCCCAGGGACCAGGGGGGCCTCCTGCTTTGCTGGGACTACGTCAGCCACCGGGGGTGTGAGGGAGGGGGGAGTGTCTGCCCCCACGCCCACTGCGACTTGGGACCCGCTCGGGGACTGCCGGCCCCACTCATGGGGGAGCTGGTGCGCCGAGGGGGCTGGAAGGACCAGCCCGCGGTGGCGGAACAGGATCAACCGGCGCGGCTGGCCGCCCTCCAGGGGGGGCCCTCAACCGGGCGGGGGGGCGAGCCACCCACGCACGTCCGGGCCTGGGGCCCGACCAGGGGGGAATATGACTGGTTCACCCCCCTCCCCGGGCGGGAAGACGTCTTGGATCAGTACCGCAACGGTCCGGACTTCGGCTTCGCCGAGAACCACCATAAGGCGCATCGCCTCAACCCAGTTGGAGACCCGGACGACCCCGAGGAGGAGGCGCGGGAGGTTGGAATGCAGGCCATTAACGCGCGCCCCGATGTGCGGGAGTTCCTCAAGGGGGGGCCCTCCCGGCACCTGGAGACCGCGGTCAAGAACCACGTCCTGGAGGAGAACCTGGCCTCGACGGCGACCGGAGGGGTGCTCGCCGTACTCCGGGGGATCGTGGACGGACCCAACTGGAAGCTGGTCCGGGAGGCCGCCGACTGCCTCGATCGGCTCGCGCCCGAGCCTGGCGGCACCCGGGGGGGGGGCGTCCGCCCCCCCGACCGCAGAGGTTACGCCCGGCTCCTCCAAGCCCCGGACGCGGGGGACGGGGTAGGGCGGGGGGCCCTCCAAATGGATGGAGGGGAGTGGGACATGCTCGACTTCCACGACCGCCCCCCCCTCAGAGAGGACCCTCTCCTCGCGGAGCGCTTGGGCATCCAGGAGGACTGTGAGAGAAAACAGTGTGTCCTCCTGAGCGCGGTGGGCGCCGCCCTCTGGGCCCGTGAGGGAAGGGGGCCGCCCAGCCTCACGGAGGTCTGGGCGCGCGCGCTCGCGGCCAGAGCGGAGCAGCTGGACCAGGCAGTTCGGGCGGAAGAATCACTGGGGCCTCCGGAGGCCAAGCTGGTGGTCGGGGAGGCGGACCTTCGGATCTTCATCCACGACGCGGTTGCCCCACACCACGACAAGGACTACCGCGCCCTGGTCGCGTTCCCCCTCCGCCTCCTGGAGGATGTCGTCCTAAACGTCGTGATGACGGACTACGGTGGGAAGGTGACCACGCACTTTCTGGAAGGAGCCCGCTCCGGGGAGGGCTCACCTCAGGCCTGGATGTTGATCCACCGGGGGCACGCCCGCGCCCTCCGCCCCCGAACGCCGACCTCGGGAGAAGCGGGAGGGGGGGACGCGTGCCTGGGAGCCCTCCATCAGACTCTTCGGAGGGAGGCCACGGTCATGAATGGCTGGGAGGAGTTCCTCAACCGCGACGCCCGAGGCACGGAGGTCTCCTGGAGCACCTACGTCAAGTGCCAGGCATGCGAGGAGCGCCCCGCGGCGAGGGAGGCGGCCCTCAGGGCTGGCCGGAGGGCTGCAGCGGCAGAGCCTGCCCGGGCACCCGCAATCAGGGCCGCCCTCCAGCTGTGGGAGGAGCTCGTCTCGGAGCACCCCGGAGCTTTGGGGGACACGCCCGCTTTCCGCTGGGGACCCCGCTTCAAGGAGGTGTTCGCGGGGACCGCGGGGGTGACCCGCGCGGTGGAGCGGCTGGGCATCCAGGCGGATGAGCCCGTGGAGCTGTACCGGAACCCCCTGCACCCCAAGGAGTCGTAGAGGAGGGAGGACCACGACCTCTCGAACCCCGACGTCGCCGAGGCCCTGGTCAAAGAGGCAGATGCTCCCCCGGGCCCGGGAGTGGCCAACGCGTGGATGTTCGAAAACCCGTGTACCTCCTTCTGCGACCGCAACACCAAAGGGGGCGCCCGCACCTGGGAGAAGCCGGAGGGGACCGGTGTAAACGGCAAGGAGGTCTTGGGAAACGCCCTCTCCCAGACCACGGTAAGGTGCACGCGGAACCTTCATAAATGGAGGAAGGGATGGATCTTCGAGAACCAGGAGCATAGAGGGATATATCCCAAGGTCTACGACCTCCCGGAGTGGTTGGAAATCCTGGAGGAGACCGGCGCCGTGATCATCCCGGGAACGATGTGCGCCTGGGGCCTCCATCCCTCAGACGCTTCGTCCCCCCACCAGTTCTATCGCAAGGGGTGCTGGCTGGTCGTCTCCGCGAACCTGGCCCCCTTCTTCACGAAGCTCCGGAGACCCTGCCCCGGTCTCTCTCCGGTGCACCAGCACGTGGAACTCAGGGATAACGTCCCAGGGACGGGCGTCAAACGGACAAGGGAAGCCGCCCAATACCCCCCGCGCTTCGCCCGCGCCGTGGCGCTGGCCATTTGGACGGCCACGAAACACCCGCCCACCGCGCCCTCGAGGGGGGGGGGGAGCCACGGGAGATGGTAAACTCAGGCCCTCAGGGGAGGGAGGGGGCGATGGGGGAGGGAGCCAACCCTGGATGCCTCCCCAACGGGCAGCTGGCAGCCCCGGAAGCGGGACGGAATCGGGGAACCAGGCGCCGGGGAGAGCGGGCCGAACCGCTCAGGACTGGGCGCAGGAGCTGTGCACCCATTGTGCGGACAACCCCAAGTACTCCCCCGAAGTTGTGAAGGAGGGGGCCCGACTCGGTGATGGCCTAGTCCAGGCGGCGGGAGGCTGGAAGGAAGCAGTCGACTGCTACCGAGAGGCCTGGACGAGCCGGTGGGGGAACAACCTGGACGGGGTCTTCAAGGAGGAGCTATGCGAGCTGCTCGACCCCGACCTCAGGGATTACCTCCACCAGATGGTGAAGGGCGGGGTTCCCGCCCGCCAACCGCTGGCCCAGGTTCGGGCCCCCTCCAAACCGCACATGAGCGTGCAGGGGCACATGGAGGAGGCGATGGAGAAGTTGTGGAAGGGCGCCAAGAGGGGGAGGGTCCTCCTCTGCGGAAAGGACTCGGAACCTTACCTAAGCGGGGTCCTCTCCTCCCCCTGGGGAAGGGTGCCGAAGATGAACCCCGACCGCGCGATCTCGGAGGAAGGAAGGTTCATCCACGACCAGAGGGCGATGAACGAGACGGGGCACAAGTACCTCCACCCCCCAGCCTTGCAGCCCCGCCATCGGGGACTGGCGAGGGAGATCACCTGGTGGAAGGAGCGGCACCCGGGGGTAAAAATCCTGATCGCCAAGCGGGACATAGCGGAGGCCTTCCGCTGGATCTGGTTGCGGGCGGAGGATGCCGGCATGTTCGCCACGGAGCTCCCTGGCAAGGTGGTCGGGATGGAGGGCAACCTGGTGGCCATCTACCTCGTCCTCACCTTCGGGTGGATCGGGAGCCTGGGGGAGTACATGGCCTTCGGGACGGCCCTGAAGCAGTACCATGACCGCCGCCGGCCGGCCGACCCAGGATGGCACGACGACGTGCCCCACCACTCGCACCTCCTCATGGACGACGACGTCCTCATCGAGCCCCTCCTGGGACGGCGCCCCTGGATGGCCGCCAGGCTGGCCGAGGAGGGGGCCCGTGGAGTATTCGGGCCTCTGGCGATCAACGCGGAGAAGAAGGACGAGGAGGGAGAGTTCCGCGTGGACCAGATCTGCTGGGGGGTCCACGTGAACACGGAGGAGGAGACCCTGCGGCTTCCCGAGGAGAAGGTCAACAAGATCCGGATCCTGCTGAGTGACCCGGCCTACGACACGGGGAACACCCAGGTAGCCCTGAAGGATGTCCAGGTCCTCCGCGGCACCCTCAACTTCGCGGCCATCACCTGCCCCCCCCTCCGCCCCGAGTTGGGGGCGGTAGACCGGCTCCTCCGCACTGCGGACCTGGCTGGGGTTTGGGTCAAGATCAAGGAGAGCAGCGAGGGGAGGGAGAAGGACGCGTGGGACGAGTGGCGGGAGGCGCTGGAAGTTTTCTGCCTCTACGCGGGAGCGCCCCAGGCCTGGGCCACCCACTTTAACACAGGCTTGAAGGGGGTCCTCCAACCCCAGGAGCGGCTCGCCCTCCCCGGCGGAATGGAAGAGCTGGTCATGGACAGGAGGGGACGCCACCGAGACCCGGGTGGGGGCCGCCGACTGGTCAAACGGGGCGTACGGGGTCATGGATGTCAAGGAGGTCATGGAGCCGTTCCACGCGGCTTTCGGGGAGGGAGCCGACATCATCGCCATCTGCGAGCTGTTTACCTTCCTGGTGCTCGCGGCGGCCCAGGCCCCGAGATGGGAGGGGCGCCTGGTCCTCTACGTCACGGACAACGCCAACGCGGAGATCTGGCTCAACAAGCGGACGGCGAAGAACCGCCTCGCCCGCTACGGACTGCGCCTCCTCCAGCTCCTGGAGACCCGCTACGGGTTCCACGCGGTTACGGCGGGAATCTGAACCAAGCACAACAGCAGCATGGACCTCATCTCCCGGGAGACGAAGAGCGTAGTCCAGGAGGAGATGAACCGCCTCGGCTTGGAGGAGATCGACCTCAAGGGACCCTGGAGGGAAGTGCTCGCGGGGGCGGAGAAAGGCCGCCCTTTGGTCCTCCCTGGAGACTCGGAGGAGGGACGCCGGCTGGCTTACCAGCTGGTGGAGCGCCGCCGGGCGCGGGGACCGCCCGCCGGACCGTTGGCCCGGGTGCAGGTCTTCGAGTGGCGTGCGACCCTCTCCCCCTACTGCCGGGTGGCCGGAGAGATGGGGGCACGGATCGGAGCCACCACCCCCAATCCTGGTTCAGCCGTGAGCCACCCCTGGTGGGAGGTCCACCAGAATCGACTCGTGGCCGACCGGGCCGGGCGGGCCAGGACCGCGGTGAAGGAGACTTGGGTCACCTGCTCCAGTGGCAGCGACCCCACCGGCCGAGAGGCCCTCTACTTCGTGCGGTACGCGCTCTCCCACGCCGCCACCCTCGTCGTGCTGGACGGACCTCTGGACCAGGATCTGGGGGGAGCCCGCGAGGTCTTGCAGGAGGGTGGGTGCGACGCTGCGGAGAGCGTGGTGCACACCCACCTCCTTGGGGGCCGGTGCGCCAGGTCGCGCCGCCTCCTCCTTGCCTGGAGAGACGGGGGGAACTGGGGGAGCGCCGCACTCGCACTCCTGCGGCGGGGCGAGCGATTGGCCCCACTGAACCTCAGCAGCGCCCTGTTGACGCCCGAGGCGGTCCCTCCGGAGCTCTACATGCAGGAGGAGGAGGGGAGGGCCCACTGGCGCCACTTCAAGGCCCCTGAGAGGGCCGACCGCGGGGAGGGAGGGCGCCCCACCGCCCTCCAGGCGGCCGGGGCCTGGAAGAGCACCCGGGAGTCGGAGGGGGACGTCAGGGTCATCCTTAGCCCGATGAGCAGCGGGCCCGACTACCCACTCTGGCACCCTGACGAGGTCTCCGGGCACTACCCCGTGCTATTGGAAGACACGCGGGGGGATGGCACCCCTCGGGTGAGGCGCTTCGATCCCAAGGAGGCCTGGCAGATTTCCGGGGGCCTCCTTCACGATTGGCGGGAGGGAACCCGAGCGGGGGTCCCTGAGGAGGTGCTCCTCATGGGTGCCGCCCGCTCCATGCCGCCCGTCTCCGCGCACCAAGTGCTGTGGGCAGCGGCCAGCGCGAGGGAGGGCCTCCTCGCGGAGGGAGCCCGGGCAGGGGTGTGCCGAGATCTTGATGAGGACTTCATGGCCGCGGCCAACGCGACGTGGTTCAACGCCTGGAAGGCTAACCCCGAGGACCCCCGGACTGCTTACGAGCAGTGGCTCCGAGAGGCCCGCGGGGCCCGGGCTGGAGGGCCACCCGGAGGGACCCCGCAGAGCGGAGGTGCAGGCCTGCTGGGCGGCCCCCACTCGGCGGGGCCCGCCCCCCCTTTGCTGGGGCCCCGGACGCGGGGGACTGGGGACTCCCTCGCCCCCTCCAGCACCGCCCCCCCGACGGGGGCGACGTGGACCGAGAGGGGGGCAAGGGGCCCGCGCCTGAGGCGCCTCGCCCAGGAGGAGGAGGAGGAGGTCATGGGGACGCTCACGGCGGCGCCCCGCGGCCGGAAACCCCAGACCCAGGCGGAGCCCCAGTGCCCTCTGCTGACGGCGGAGGGGGATCAACCTCAGATTGGGGGAGGCCACCTGGCGGACGAGAGGGGGCGCCTACGGGACAGCCTCATCTTCGGGAACCTCGCGAAGGGGACGCGCACCTCATACGCCGTTGCGTGGAGGCAGCGGTGCCTTTTCCTCAAAGCCCGTGGCGGGAGCCCGCTCCTCACGGGGCTGGGGAGGGAGGGCCGGCGGCAGGATGAGGACGTGCTCCTGGACTGGATCGTCCACCTGGCCCATGTCCAGCACCGCTCGGAGGGGCCGATCCGGGGAAAGCTGATGGCGGTCCGCCACTACCATATCGCGGCGGGATACCCGGACCCTCTGGAGCTGGCCCCCAGGCTCGCGCTGGCGCTGGGGGGACTACGGAGGATGGGCGCCAAGCAGAACCGGAAGTATCCTGTCACCATTGAGATGATGCGCTGGCTAAAGGGGAAGTTGGACACCGGGAGGGTAGGAGACGCGGCCGCCTGGGCCGCCCCCACCACCGCCTTCTTCTTTATGCTGCGCGCCTCCGAGTACCTCGCCGACACCTCCGGGGGTAGGGATTGGGCGGCGGAGCGGGTCCTCTTCGGGAGGGATGTCACCCCGAGGAGGGAGGGCGCGGTCTGCCCCACCTTCGCGTCCGCGGACGAGGTGGTTATCTACATCAAGGGGAGCAAGACCGACCAGTGCAATTTCGGATGCTGCCGCAACCACTACGCCACGGGCAATCCCCTTTGCCTTGTCGGAGCCCTCGCCGAGCTGGAGAGGCTGGCGCCCCAGCGGTGGAGACCCCATCCGGCGGAAGGACATCGCCGACCTCTTGGGCCAGGCGGCGAAGGCGGCGGGGATACATCCCTCGCACATCGGGGGCCACTCCCTGAGGATCGGAGGCGCTACGGCTATGTACCACGCCATGCCAGACCTGGAGCGGCTCAAGCGGTTCGGGAGGTGGAGGTCGGGTGCCTTCCACGCGTACCTCTGGGGGGCGCGCGGACCCCAGAAGGGCCTCTCGGAGGCGATGTCCGCCCAGAACTACAACCTCACCTTGGGAAGCTCGAACCGCCTGGGGCAGACCCCACCCGAGAAGGGAGGGGGGCGGGTCAAGTTCCGGGAGGAGCCCCCGGAAGAATACCACGCGCGCAGCTGACCCGGAGGCGCCCCGGCGGGAGCAGCGTTGTCCCCCTGCCGCGCGGGCCCCCTCCCAGCCCCACCCGGTTGGCGGGGCGGTAAGCTGGGGAGGGGGGGTGCCCGTGGAAGCCATGGCTGGCTGGCCGTAGCGTGAGTAAGCGGAGGGGTGCTGCCCCCTCACCGTACGCCTGTTTTTCCCGCAAGCAGCTGGCACCAAGCTTGCGGCCTTGCGAACCCCTCGGGCTCCAATCTGGGGGAACCCGCCGGTTTTGACGGCGCCCAGTTGATGTAACCCGTGGAAGGCCCCCCTCCGGGGAGCGGAAGAGCTGCGGTGGGAACGGTTGGTGCGGTGCTGGATCCGGTGCGCCGCAGTGGTGACCCTGTGGGCCCGGGGAGTTGGCCTTCCGCAGCCCCGCCCCGCAGTGCCCCCCGGAGGGGCGGATTCTGTTTTTTGCAATACTGTTTCCAGCGTTCGCGCTACCCCTCTGCAGCTGCAGCTAGTTGCGGTGCCGCGCTACTGTGATTAGTGCGCTTGGCACCCAGGGTTTTGCGCGGGGTGATGGCGGGCCCGCCTTCCTTCCTCCTCTCCGGCTCCCTGCCCCTCGCCCCTCCTCTGTCTCATTGGCGGACCCCTAGGGCCATCTTTGTTTGGAGGGAGGGTGGGCGCCGTTAGGGCGATCCCCCTGGGGAGCGGCCCGGGGCGGGCGTGGGCGGAGAGCCTGCGGCTGTGCTCGCGGTCGTCGCCAAAATATGGCTCTCCTTCCTTCTGTTCAGTTACGGGGCTAGGAGGGGAATATGGTTTCGTTTGGCATGCGCCTGAACGGTTTTATTCCCCCCTGGCCGTAGTGCTCTGTCGCCCCTCCTCTTCCCTGCTCCCGCAGCTGTTTAGGTTAAGCAGCGTTTTTTCCACCTCCCACCCCGCAACTCTGTTCCCCCGTCTTTTGGACGGGGCGGAGAGCCTGCGGCTGTGCTCGCGGTCGTCGCCAAAATATGGCTCTCCCTCCTTCTGTTCAGTTAACGGGGCTAGGAGGGGAATGTTGATGTATGGTTGCATGCATGTATCACCCGATGCACAGTTGTATGCATGACTCTATGATTGTGTATGTCTGTATGTGTATGTGTGTTTGTCTGTCTGCATGCATGTATGTATGTAGTTGTGTATGTGTATAAGCCTGTTGTGTGCATATATATATATATATATATACGAATGCGAACATGAATACGTGTGTATACATATGCACATGTACGATTAATTTCAGCGTGCGCACCCCAGAACAGTGCCCCCCCAAACGCATCTCCACCTTCCCGGGCATCCTGGGTGCCCCTGCCACATGTCCCTTCGGCCTTCCCGGCCTCCTGGAGGTCCCCGTCGGACTTCAACGACGGACCAAAGCGGTCGGGAGGGCGCCCAAACGGCCTTATGGGAGCCCCACGTGGCCCTAGAACCACCCAGGATCCCCAGATACGACCCCCCAAAAACCCACAAGAAAACTCCCAGAAAGCTCAAATATGGTTTTCCTACAGACCTAATCTATTATTCGGGAGGCATCCGCTTCTTCTGTCTTCCGGCTGCCCGAGACAAATACGGACAAAAAAACTTCAAGACCTCAAGAGGCCTCGTAGGCCGTCCTGGAACGACCATGGAGGACCATGGGGCCGTCCTGGAGCGCCGGTCGCCCGAAAAGACGAGAATGCCAGAATCATAAAACAACCAAATGGGAAATCAATGCTTGTGCCTCTTGGGACCCTCTTGAGGGGCCTCTTGGAGCCCTCTTCGGGCAACTGGGGGGCCTCTCGGGCAGTCTTGGGGCCCTTTTGGGCGCCTGTGAGAACTCTGGGGCCGTCTTGGGTCCCTCTTGGACCGTCATGGGGGCCTCTTGGGGCCCTGTTTGCCCGATTGGGGGCCTTCTTGCTTCCTGAAAAAGGCACGCGGGGGCATGCGCTAAGCCCCAGGAGCGCCCCGTGAGCGCCCCGAACTCGGGGCTGTGGGCCTTCAAAAGATTACGAACCGTAACTCTACACAGAAGACTTTGACAAGGGCGCTCTCGAGGGCGCGAAATGATTTGCACTTGTCGGTTCGGCTCCGATCCCTCCTCATCCTCTCCTTCTCCCCGGGGAGGCGGCGCGAGAGCGCGAGGTTATTCGCACTTCGCGCTCCGCGCAGCGCGATGCTGGGAACCCTTGTGTAAAGTAACCGAGAAGACTCCTCCTCCTCCTCCTCCTCCTCCTCCTCCTCCTCCTCCTCCTCCTCCTCCTCCTCCTCCTCCTCCTCCTCCTCCTCCTCCCCCTACCTCTACCCCTACCCCTACCCCTGCCTCGACCAAGAGAGGGTAACTCAGTGGCCAGCGGCACGGTGGACGTCCGAGCGATGGCGAGCGTCCAGGCACGGCGGCCCACGCGCGAGGCAGCCACCGGGCGGGCCGCGGGCGGGAGCCCGGAAAGCCCAGCCAGCACTCGAGGCGGCCGCCGGGCGGGCCGCGGGCGGGCGCGGGGCTACGGGGCGTGAAAACGACTACAGCCACCGCTTTTCTTTTGTTGCCGCTTTCCAGCCCGCAGGAACAAAGCAGTGGTTGTGGTCATTTTCGTTGAGCTTGGCACCAGGGAAATGACCACAGCCACTGCTTCTTTTTCGGCCGGCTGGACGGCGGCGCAAACCAGAAGCAGTGGTTGTGGTCATTTTCCCGTCCCGCAGGGGCGGAGCCCTGGAAGACGTGGCCAGCGCACGGGGCGGACGCGAGGCGGCCACGGTCGGGCACCTGGGGGGCACTCCCCCAACACGCCCCCGTCCTCCTCACCCGTGTCCTTGAACGATCGGCGGCTTCTCGATCGCCTGGGCGATCCGTGTTTTCTGATTGGACGCGTTGGGCGGCCCTGGTGCGCCTGTCGACAAGCAGTGCCTGCACCCGGAAAAATGGGGCAGCGGACCCGGCCGGAAGCACCTGTGGCCATTTTTCGGCAGCGAGCGAGGGCGGGCGGGCGCTGGGCGAGGCCCTGGAAGACACGGCCAGCTCATGGGGCGGACGCGAGGCGGCCACGGTCGGGCACCTGGGGGGGCACTCCCTTTTGTGTGACCCCGTCCTCCTTTCCCTTCGTGTTCGTATGAGCAAGTCGCTTGCAGATGGCATCTCCTTCGTTGTACCACCGTGCGCATGCGTGTGTGTGTGAATAGGAGAAGGTCTGGGTATTTCGCCTGATGCGTTTTCACGTTATACGCGCATAAGTGCGGAAAGTGCGAGAAGGGGCGCAGGTGGTGGCGGCTCGTTTTCAAAGTCTGTTGTCTCCCTGGTGCCTCATCGCACCGACACTGGCTTACATCGCTGGAGGGCAATTGGCTTCCGAAGTTTGATGGTTGCCCGAGTCTTCTTACGCTTCGTTTTCATGGAATGAGGATTTGCTACAGCTGCACGCATGGAGGGTGCCTCCTTCCTCTCCTCCATCCCTATCTTGCACCGCGCGGCTCGAGAGTTGTACGACCGAGGGTGTCAGGCCTGTGTCATCTGCGGTGCGCCCTCCTGCGGACTCATCCGTCAGCGATGCTCCGCACCGCCTGCATGAGCACCGGCCTCGCGGCGGCCTCGGCCTTCGTGGGTCCCGCGCCCAGCGGGGGCGTCGTGAGCAGCGCCGCGACTGGTCAGCGCTTCCTGGCGCCGGAGGCGGCATCGCCCGAGCAGCCTGCTGGCCTCGGCGCCAGCGGCGTTCTCGCGGCGGCCGGCGCGTGCGCCGTCGCGGCCGGCGCCGCGGCGCGCGCCGAGCGCCGCCGCCCCCGTGCGCGGGCGGTGGTCGCCTGTCGCGCCGGGGGGGCCGACACCGAGGCCATCGCGAAGCAGGTGGCAGCCAGTGCCGCTGCCACAATGGTCGCCGTCAGCGCCGCGGCGGCGCCTGCGGCTGCCTACCCGATCTTCGCGCAGCAGAACTACCCGAACCCCCGGGAGGCAACCGGCAAGATCGCCTGCGCCAATTGCCACCTCCAGGGCAAGTACATCGAAGTCAAGATGCCCCACGAGGTCCTCCCCGACACGATCTTCAAGACCCTCATCGAGCTCCCTCTCAAATACGAGAAGAGGGTCCAGCCGATCGCCGACGGCTCCAAGGCCAGTCTGAACGCTGGCGCGATCGCGATCATGCCCGAGGGCTGGAAGCTGGCGCCGAAGGACCGGCTGCCCAAGGCGCTGAAGAAGCAGATGAAGGGGCTCGCCTGGTCGCCATACAGCAAGGACAAGCCCAACATCGTCGTCGCGGGGCCGGTGCCCGGGAAGATCTACGAGACGATGGTGCTCCCCATCCTCGCCCCCGACCCCAACAAGACCCCCGAGATCGTGTTCAACAAGTACGAGTTCTATTTCGGAGGCAACCGGGGGCGCGGGCAGGTCTACCCGGAGGGCAACCTCAGCAACGTCAACATGTACACCGCGGCGGCTGAGGGCACCGTGACCGAGATCGTCCCGGGCGAGAAGGTGGTCATCACGAAGGCGGACGGCACTGTGGTGGACTCGCTCATTGGCAAGGGGGCCACGGTCGTGGTCGAGGTCGGCGAGAGCGTGAAGAAGGACGAGCAGATCACCACGAACCCCAACGTTGGCGGCTTCGGTCAGGAAGACAAAGAGGTCACGCTGCAGGACATGAACCGCGTGTATGCGTACTGCGGCCTCTCCATCTCGATCTTCCTGGCGCAGCTGGTGTTCGTGCTTAAGAAGAAGCAGTTCGAGAAGGTGCAGCTTGCGGAGGGCTTCTGAGCAGCACCCTCTCTGAGAGGGCATGCGCCGCCCCTCCTCATCTCCTTGCCTGCGTTTGACTTCTCTCAGCTTCGGTTCCTCGCCACTTCCATGACCCTCATCCCTCCATCCCCTTCTCTTTCCCCTCTGCTGAATCCCCCCTGCCGTTCCCCCCCCCTCCACCTCCCTCGCTCCCTCCCTCCTGCTCCCCTCCCTGCCCTTCCTTACCTCTCTCTGCTCCTCGTGCCTCGTCGTTGTCGTCGTCGTCCCCCTGCGCCTCAGCATCCTCCAGATCCTCCTACTCCACCACCTCCTCCACCTGCCCCGCACCCTGCCCCGCACTGGCTGCAGCTCCCTCTCTCTCGACGGACTGGCCTCGTCGTCCAGCCTCTTTCCGGGCGACGAGGTTCAGGTTGCTCTGGCGCTTATTCTGGCGGCGGCTGGATTTTTAGTCCGCACAGGGCACCTATGCACCATCGCGTCACCATTGGTGTCTTGGCCAGTGTCATCCTGGGCCCCAGGCGTACATTCCTTTCCAGGCCTTGGCCAGGCGGGCGTGCACACCAAGCCAGGGCCTAGGCTGGCCATGGCCAGGCATGGTAGTGGTGTACAGGTGTCCTCTGCGCATTTAGTACCCGGCGATTTTCTGATCCCCGCGTGAACCGTGTCTAGCGAGTTGCTAGCCGATGTCAACACGAGCCTCCTGCTGCTGCTGCTGCTGCTGCTGCTGCTGCCCCCCCTTCCCTCAGATCCGGGGTTGGTGACAGCGATTCGAGTCCTCGGCACGGTCCAAGGTGGATCTGATGTCAGAA